GACTACTCAATATTCATTGTACATAGCTGCCCTTACCAACAACACTCTTCCACAATTGCTTCGTGCAAGGATTGATGTTGCGTTTAGGATAGGGTCCTACCATGATCAGTACCACTTCATGGGCGAATGAGGTCCTCAACTGTGGTGATTGGCAGACCTGTAGGGAACAGCTATGATGATCATGGTCCGCAGTCCTCAGCGGTGGTAGTCGAAGGTGGAGTGGTCCTGCCTGGGATAGCATGTACCCCGAAGGTCTACAGGGTAATATTGGACTTTATGGTAAATTCAATAAGTACTATGTAGATACGGTACGGGGTATCCTTCTGGATGTACATTCTTTTAATCTGCATTGGGTCTACAGCAGGCATATGGACGGGCATGATAAGGGATACCGAGGGATGGTCTTGGCAACTGATATCCTTCATCGCCATACTGTTCGCTATATTTGTGGTCTTGGGATTTTTCGTACCCATACGCCTTGTACGATTATCTGACCGTATCATACTCGCCACTCCCCTTGTTGATTATATAGCGATGCTAGACGATATAACAGATATCATGATGGTAAGGCTAGTATGTATTACCTTCTTATTACACTAAATACCCTGTTACAGGTGCAGACTGTTTGTGGTCATGACGCTCTAGAGGCCAACCGTCGATTCCCATGCCGCACCTTTTTCGGTTTCCCTACTGATTACCCCAAGTACCTGCTTATTGCCAGTAACAGGTGTTTGAGCAATATGATAGTCTCCTCGAGTGACATGGAGCAGTTGTATGAGGACATGACACGTATAATAGAGGCTCGTCACGCGATGATGGTTGTAGTGTAAATGTCTCCTTCTTACATGCTTTAAAGCGTTATGTGATTGACTTAGCGGCAGACATTGTTGTAGTTCACTGGGACTGCGGGGAGTTGATGGACAATTCTGCCATTCAACTGGTTTGGAGCTGGCTCATGATCCCAACATCCATAAGACCCTCTCTCGCCATTCTCAGCACCAATATGGATGGATAAGTTCCTCTTCCTCAATTCGTCAAACTGCCTAGTAGTGATTAAAATTCTAATAATTGAATACCTAACTGCTGCTGGACTAGAGCGAGGGGATAGTCCTTGTCCCTACCCATGAGTCTGGGATAATAGTATCGCCCTGTAACGATCGTCACACGAAGAAGTCCGTAATGGGACCTCGAACGAAATGGTTATAGCTATTATTGATTGTTCGCCTTGGGAGACAACTACGGCTCGAAAATACTCCACCCAAGCCCGTCAAGGTATCTGCCACTACGAATACTACACAAGTCTTCCCGTGCTTTGGCAGTACTACTTTTTGGGGCTCGGCCTTCCATTGAACGATTACTTCGTAATAATAGAGCGATATCCTCACCGTGGAGACCTCACGTCAAGGAGTATTATCTAATGGACCCTTGCGAAGAGGGCTGTATTGAGGTAGTGGATGATACTGCTTCTTTACTGGAGTACATCGACGTGGTAGGTCAAGCCTCGACTCTGAATACTGAAAGTGCCATTGGCTGGATCCGGCGGTACCACGTATAATCAAAGTCACGTACAGATCTGTTTTATCCGCTAGAGGTCGCTGGAATATATTGAAGACGATGGAACCACATTGAAGATACATATACAGTATCACCGGTCCAACAACACAAAACCACTACTCAGACGATGCTGTAGCGAGGTAGCATGCACTGAAGAAGTAGAGTCTCACACTAGTCTACGAGACACTTTTCTTCGAGACTTTCGCTGCACCCTATCTAATCGGTGTAGCCCTAGCACAAAACAACAGCAGCAGCAGCACTGAGGACAGTGTCCTCACTGATATAAAAGGGTACAGATACGTGTAGGGTTATACCTGCAAAGAGTCTTTGTCAAAGACGGCGACGACGACCAAACACTTCATACGGCCCTTAACAGGTACCCAGCAGTAGATGCTTGCATGCGTTGAATGCACTGTATGCTATTGAAAAGGCCGGCAGGTAAAAGTGTCAACTGAGAGAGGGCGCCGTGACACAGGGAAGGTGGCATTTAGAGCTTACGACGGCCCAATTTGGGGAGAATGCTACTGCCGCCAGGCAACTCACCTATTTGGCAAATGAATCGCAGTAGTACTGCGATTCAGTAATGGATGGAGATGAGGCTCGAGTCATATCCCGAGAGGAAAGGCTTCGTCAGACCACGTCTCTAAGACAGTCAACGAGTACGATGCCAGCTGCATCGCCCACTCCTGTTGGCCAGTCTGTTAGCTGCATTGTATCGATTGCTCGCTATATGTAAATCGACTCCGTTCGGCCATCGTCAGCTACCTTTTTGTTGTTGTCCGCCTGTGCGGCCCTGATTGTGCGGCCCTGCCTGTGCGGCCCTGCCTGTGCGGAATAAACAGTATAAGACGGGCGCGAGAGTCTTATCCGTAGCTAACGTGTGCATGCATCAAACGATCGATTGCATTCAGAGTCTTTCGAGGGGTTCTTTTGAGGATTACCGTTGGCACCTCTGCCAACCATGTCGATCACGACTTCGAGTAGATCCGTCCACAAACTGGAACGCTAGCTTCATGACGTGAAGTTCACGTCAGGCCGTGTATTAGCGTACACATCCCGAATCATGCAAGTGTTTTTCCTTTCAATTGCGGTACTCTATGTTTCCCAAGCATGCTCTCAATGAGAGCTCTCATCCGGATATCCAATCTTCTGCTTATCTTCAGCGTATTATTTCCCACATGCTGTTCAATAGCTTCATCCTGGTCGGCGTCGTCTGCATCGCCTCATTCTTCCGTCCTACGTATGGCCAAACTCACGCTCGCAGTCTGTCGAACGTGCATTTCTGCGGGGACTTCTGTGACAAATGTCCTTCTAGCTGTAAATGCACATTCCAGGTTTGCTGTGGATGTAAGTGTCACGAGTGCAGAGATATGGTCGTTTAAGAGCGGAACCAGTTCTGAAGTTTGACTTATTATCTTCAAGACATCGTTCTAATCTAACCACACCACAGTTCCCGTTATCTATGAGTATTGTCCTGCCGAGTCTAAGATCAGATCATATGTTGAAGTTTGATTATGCTCTATAGTTGAGCATACCTTCCATGCCGCATATAGCTTACGGGTTTTTTTGATATATTTTGATACAAGTCCTCAGCTTCTTACAGTTTGTCTTGTTCTGTTCAGTAACTGGATCTACGTAACATCCTACTGATTCTTTCAATTTGGATATTTCAAATCGACCACTCTCTGAGAAGCCCATTATGTTTCATAATTTATAAATGAAACTCGGCCCCTGGAACCTAGCGATACAGGATGGTGCCGAGAAAGTGTCCACCCCTCGTAATTTTG